GGTGAGACGCATGTGGACACCGCCACTGGACCCTTCGGTGGAGCTCCCTATGGGGCCACGAAGCGCTGAACTGGATGGGGAGACGCATGTGGACACCGCCACTGGGGCCTTCGGTGGAGCTCCCCATGGGGCCACGAAACGCTGCTCTGGGTGGGTGAAACGCATGTGGGCACCGCCACTGAACCCTTCGGTGGAGCTCCCTATGGGGCCACGAAACGCTGTGCTGGGTGGAGACGCATGTGGACACCGCCACTGGGGTATTCGGTGGAGCTCCCTATGGAGCCACGACACGCTGTGCTGGGTGGGAAAAGCGCATGTGGGCACCGCCACTGGGGCCTTCGGTGGAGCTCCTCATGGGGCCACGAAACGCTAGGCTGGGTGCGGGAGACGCATGTAGACACCGCCACTGGGGCCCTAGGTGGACCTCCCTATGGGGCCCCGAAACGCAGTGCTTGGTGGGGGAGACGCATGTGGACACCGCCACTGAAGCCTTCGGCGGAGCTCCCTATGGGGCCACCAAGCGCTGCTCTGGGTTGGGGAGACGCATGTGCACAACGCCACTGGGGCCCTCGGTGGAGCTCCCTATGGGGCCACGAAGCGCTGCATGTGGACACCGACACTGGGGCCTTCGGTGGAGCTCCCTATGCCGCCACGAAACGCTGTGCTGGGGGGGGGAGCCGCATGTGGACACCGCCACTGGGGCCCTAGGTGGAGCTCCCTGTGGGATCACGAAACGCTGTGGTGGGAGGGGGAGACGCATGTGGACACCGCCACTGCGGCCTTCGGTGGAGCTCCCCATGGGGCCACGAAACGCTGTGCTGGGTGGGGGAGACGCATGTGGACGCCGCCACTGGGGCATTCGGTGGAGCTCCCTATGGGGCCACGAAACGCTGTGCTGGATGGGGGAGACGCATGTGGACACCGCCACTGGCGGTGGAGCTCCCTATGGGGCCACGGAAAGCTGTGCTGGGTGGGGGAGACGCATGTGGGCCCCGCCACTGGGGCATTCGGTGGAGCTCCCTATGCCGCCACGAAACGCTTGCTGTGTAGGGGAGACGCATGTGGGCACCGCCACTCGGGCATTCGGTGGAGCCCCCTATGCCGCCACGAAACGCTGTGCTGGGTGGGGGAGACGCATGTGGACACCGCCGCTGGGGCCCTAGGTGGAGCTCTCTGTGGGGTCACGAAACGCTGTGTTGGGAGGGGGAGACGCATGTGGACACCGCCACTGGGGCATTCGGTGGAGCCCCCTATGCCGCCACGAAACGCAGTGCTTGGTGGGGGAGACGCATGTGGGCACCGCCACTGGGGCATTCGGTGGAGCTTCCCATGGGGCCACGAAACGCTGTGCTGGATGGGGGAGACTCATGTGGACAGCGCCACTGGGGCCTTCGGTGGAGCTCCCCATGGTGATGATGATGATGATGATGACGACGACGACGACGACGACGACGACGACGACGACGACGACGACGACGGGGACATGCGCAGGGCAGAGGCAGGAATCGGAGGAGGGAGGAAGGGGAGGAGGAAGGAAGGAAGGAAGGAAGGAAGGAAGGAAGGAAGGAAGGAAGGAAGGAAGGAAGGAGGCAGGGAGGGAAGGAGGGAACGCGGGGACCGTCTCTTCAAAACGAGGGCCAAACACCGCAGGATGGTTGGGAATTCTGATTGGGGTTCTTCTCCAGCATCAATTTGTTGTCTTCGATCGCCGCACCTGCCGTCGCGCGGGAGATGGCGGACCGCATGGTGCCCGGGACGCGGCACGGCGGCTCGGCTCTGGCGGCGTGCGGGGCCGTCCTGGGCCCGAACGGAGAGCGCCTCTCCCTCGAGAGGGCGCGAGGGCGAGGGCGTGTCCTGTGCGGGGGCCCTCTTAGGGGCTACATCTGGACATTCGTGGACTCCCTGGTGGTGCCTCTCGAGGGCCAAGAGCGCCCCAAGGTGGAAACATCTTTGATTTTCCTAAGGTTCGCGAAGGATTTGGCCGTTCTCGCCTCTGGACATTCTTGGACTCCCTTGTGGTGCCTCTCGAGGCCCAAGAGCGCCCCAAGATGGAAAAATCCTTGATTTTCCTAAGGTTGGTGAAGGATTTGGCCGTTCTCGCCTCTGCGGCTCCCCGACGCTGCAAGACTGCCCGAGAGGACCCCAAGACTGCTCGAGAGGCCTCCAGGAGGGCCGCCCCAAGACGATCCTGGGGTCCATTGGGGCCGTTGGGAGCTCTTCGGAAAATCCAGGGGGTCGCCTCGGAGCCACCTGGAGGCGGTCTTGGATAGTCTTGGAACCGTCGTCGGATGTCATGGGGCCGTCTCGCACGAAAACCGACGCCATCTGGGGGCATCTGGGGGCCGTCTTGGGGGCACCGGAGGGCTCTCTTGTGAGGCTCCGAGGCCGGCGTGTAGACCCCTGGAGCACTCCCACAGGAAGACGACCTGCGCCTCATAAGGCATTCCGCGGAGCCATCTTGCAGCCTCTTCGGGCCCCCTTTTTTTGGAGGACAAGAAGGAGGAGGCGGCCACAACATGTCCCCCCTTCGCGGCAGGCAGCACAGAGCGCAGGCCAGGGTACTGCAGATTTCGTAATAAAAGAGAGGGGGTCTGGACCCTCCAATACAAGCCATTTCAGATCTCCCCCGTGGGAGAACCCTCCAAAACATCGTCCCCAGACCCCCCAGGCCCTCCAAGATAGCCTGGAAGAGACCCCCCCCCGAAATGAGACCCCCCTCCCTTTATTACGAAATCTGGAGTAACCTCTTCTGGCCACCTCGGCCCCATCTTGGGCCGCCCATGGGCCGGTCTGGCCCGTCCTGGGCGCCTCTGGCGGCTCTCCCGGCCAGCTTGGGGCCCTGTGAAGCCACACCAGTTGGCGGCGCGCCAAAGGGAGTGGGGGGAGGGGGGAAGGCTTCTTAGAAGCACCCTGCTTCTTAGAAGGCCTCGGCCTTACGTCTATAAAGAAGGCCCGCGCCTTCTAAGAAGCAGGGGTGCCCGCGCCTTCTAAGAAGCAGGGGTGCTTCTAAGAAGCCTTCCCCCCTCCCCCTACCCCCCTCTGCGCGCCGCCAAACCAGGCCTTCTGGGCCGGCGAAGCCGCCGGCAAAAAAGCAGGGCAATTGCCACTGCTTTCCCTTCACGCGCGCTCGGATCCTGGCAGGGGCCTCAGAAGCGCACGTCAAGGCTCTTTTCGGGATCTGGGAGCCGTCTGGGGGCGGCGTCACTGGGCTACCTGGGGATGTTTAGAATCATCTTGGAGCCACCTCAGGGCCATGTAGGCTATCCTGGAGGCCGGCCAGGGCCATCTTGGGCTATTGGGGTCCTCCTGGGCCTTCTTGGAAGCTCATGTGAGCCCCTTGGGCCCTCTTGAAAGCTACTGGTGCCATGCTTCGAGCCGTCTCAATCAAAGAAAAAGAACCTAAGGTTGAATTTGACGATTTTCCCTCTAGGGGCAGGCCTGGCACAGAGACGTTGAGGAGTCCCTTGGGGCCATCTTGGCGCTATCTTGGGGCATCGTGGACCATCTTGGGACGTCTTGTGGGCCCTTTGGGCCGTCTTGGGCGACTCCTGGATGCTCTTTTGGGTGGTCTGTGGCCCTACGGAGCCGCACTGGGCCATCTGAAGCCCCTCTGCGGCCATCACGGCCCGCCGCCTGACCCCGCATGGAACGCGCTGAGGCGAGCATCGTGACAGAGATCACGTCGGGCTCCAGCTTCGTTTCGAACATCTCGCTGAGAAGCGACAGCGCCCATTGCCACTGCCTGCTTTTGCCGCAAATGCAGGCGATCGCAGTGAAGTGGTTTTTGTCGACTTCCGCGCGTAGCTGAGACGCTTCGCGGAGAAAGTGCAACGCTGCGCTCCATTGCTGTCTCCTCCCGCAATTCTGTATGGCCGCTCTCAGGGAAGAAGCGCCTGTTCGAAATCCCGACCGGATGTCAAGCATCCAACGGATCTTGATTCACGCCTACCTGGGCCAAAATGCCTTGGAAAAGATCGGAGCGGAGGGAAAAGAAAGGAGGGAGGGAGGCGGCGTGAGACAGAAAGAGGATAGAAGAGGGGGAGGGGGGAGGGGGGAGGGGGGAGGAGGAAAGGAGAGTGGAAGGCATAGGGAGCAGAGAAGATAGAAATGGAAATAGGGAGGACAGAATACGGCATCTGCAGGGAGGCAGGAAAGAGTGCCGTAGTGACTGAAAACGAAAGAGTTCGCTAGAGGCTTCAGTGGGAAGAAAGGGTGCTAGCCCTCCTTCTCTCTCTCTCTCTCTCTCGCTCTTTCACACTCTCTCTCTCTCTCTCTCTCTCTCTCTCTCTCCCTGTGTATACATGTATTCAAAAACTAGCGTGTGCAAATGTATATATACATATGTGAATGTGTGTATGCAAGTTTGTGTCTAACTATATACAAGTATAAAAGTACATATTATCAGCCAGCGTGGACCCCAAACAGTAAGTTATTGCACTGTGGATGTGCACTGCTGTGCCAGCTATGCGGCGTAGGCTGTGGCGCCGTAGACGTGGTGCAAGCTAGAGGCGGCAACGAAGCAGCAAACGGGCGGCAGCGTGGCGACATCTCGCCAGACCCGCCCAGCGCGCCAGCGCGACCTGCAGGACGCGCTGGACAATGCCCAGCGGTCAGCACCACCACGGCCGCGTCGGTCGCGCCGAACTGGCTGGTAGCTCTGCGATCGAGCCCGCGCACGCAAGCGCGGCTGCGGCGATGCGCCAGCCAGCGCCAAGCAGGCGTCGCAATCGCCGCCGCATAGGCTTTGCAACCGAGTTGCGGGTGGGTGGGTGGGATGACTGCGCGAGCAGCGAACCGACAACTCCAAGTTCTTCAAAACTGGCTGCACCACATGGAGTGCACCACGTCGATTGCACACCATGTACAGCTAGAAACACACTGTCTGGGGTCCAAAATGGCTAACATGTAGATCTGTGGTACGCATTCGTTTGTCCTCCTTACGTCCTTCTCCTCGTGTTCTGCCTCGTCTTCCTTCTACTCCTCCGACCGCGGAGCAACACGGTCCCACACGAGGATCTTCACACCGTGCCTCTCGAGGGCTGGCCCCAGGTGATCGCGCACAAAGTCCCGCTCCTCGCCCGGCTGGAGGGGGGAGAGAGAGGAGAAGCAGACCCAGCGAAAAAGGACAGAAGGCATAGAAACATTCGAGACGGAGATCCCCATGAGTGCATGTCATTTACTGGCACTTTTCGCTGCGAGTGTCGGAGCAAAAGAGTCTCAGCCTGTGGCGACTGAACTTGCCTTGGCAACTCCCCCTCTGGAGTGCCCGACTCCTGGGCCTGCTACATCGGGATGGTACTGGAACTCGCGAAGGAAAGGCGTCGAGCGTGCCAAAACCAGCGTATCGCTCGAGACATCCCCACGCCCTGGTGCCCAAATGCCATGCCTGCTGCATCGTTATGATCATAGAGCTCTGAACGGAGAGGAGGCGGGGGATGTCAAAACCAGCGTTTCGCTCGAGACACCCCCACAAACTGGGCGCGAACGAGCAAGTGTCTTACCCCCTGGCGGTTCCTCCTTTGGGTGCCCAGACGTTATCAGACTCATTCCCTGCCATATCGAAATGGTCACAGGGTTCTCATGACACAAGAATCGGGAACGCCAAACGAGCGACCCGCTCGGGGCATCCCCACAATCTGGGCAAGAACGGGGGAGTGCCCCAAACGCGTTATCCCGGCTAGATCGAAGTGACCACGGGGCGCTCGGCAGACGGGAGTCGGGAACCCCAAACGAACGATCCGCTCGAGACATCCCCACAATCTGGGCGCCGACAGAAAGTATCCTACCACCTGGCGGTTCCTCCTTGGGGCGGCCAGACTCACAACAAAGGAGCCAAGAACGCCAAACGAACGACCCGCCCGAATCATCTGGGCGCGAGCGAAGAACCTCCTGGAAGCTCCTCCTTGGGGCACACGAGTGCAATGTCGGCTACATCGTTGCGGTCACGAGCAGATATGAGTCCGAATAAGTCAGACCGTGGATGAGTCTGAGCGCGGGTGAATATGAGGGCGAATGAGTCTGCGTACGCGATAGTCTGACTGCGAGCGAGTCCGAGCGCGACTGAGTCTTTGAATGCGCGTGGATCTCAGCATGAAAGAGTCTGACCGCGAGCGAGACGGAGCGTGAGTGAGTCTCAGCACGAGCCAGTCTGCGAGCGAGTCTGAGCCCGAGCAGGAACGGAGTCTGAGTGTGAATGGGCCTGGGCGTGGCCGAGTCCGGCACGATGATGAGAGCCTGCGTTTGACGGGGAGGGGGCGGGAGCGCAGAGGTACCACCCCGACGACAAGAGCCCCAGTCCTGGAGATGGGGAATTTTCTGCGTCGCAGCGCGGCAGCGGCAGTCCTCACGCGCGCTCGAGCGGGCCGGGAGGAGGCGAGCGCTAACTTCTTTGTTCATCCATCGGCACAAGGGAAAACAGCATGTAGCTGTAACTGTCTATGAACGACACAAGCAGCTATCGCGCTATACAATGGATTATTCCCGTCGCAGGGAGGTGTGTCCCTATGCTCGCTATGTGCGCGCGAGGAGGACGAGGAAGAGGACGAGGAAGAAGCGCTCGCCGAAAAGGAGGCGAGCGCTAACTGTCCGGCGGCAAGGAGGGGGGAGAGAGGGAAAACAGGCGCGCGGCCGCGGCAAGGAAAAAAGGAGAGGGGGCGCGGAGGGCACGCACAGAGCGAGGTGCAGCGCCTCTTGGAGCAGCTGGAGCGGCCAGCCAGGGCTCCATCACCCTGGCAGCGGGGCGCGGGGCGGCATCGCGGCCACACCCAAGGGCAGCAGCGCAGGCAGAAGTGCGCGAAGTGCAGCTGTACCAGTACAGAGAGAGGGGGGGGGGACATGGAGAACGAGCAGACAGAAAGAAGGAGGGAGGGAGGGAGGGAACAACGAGGCGCGGAGCGGCGGAGAATCCATCGAACACAGCAACGTCCGGGGCCCTGGGGAACCCGGGGGGTGCGGGGGGGTGTTGGTAACGGTATCGTTAACGGTATCGGCATCGGTAACGGTATCGGTAACGGTAACGGTATCGGCATCGGCAACGGTATCGGTATCGGTAAGAGGGGGGGGAGGTGGGAGGAGGAATGGGCGGATGGGGAGGAGGAGGAGGAGGAGGAGGAGGAGGAGGAGAGCGAGCAGAAGAAAGGCCAGATGCTTCTGGGATGCCTCTCGGAGCTTCTTCGCATGTCTCTTGAGAGCTTCTCGTGTGCCTCTTGGGGCGTCTTAGGGGGCCTCTTGGCGGTCCCCTGGGGGCGGCGCCTGCCAGCCTGCCCAGCCTGCGGGGTGCAAGGCAGGACACGAGCGCACCAGCGTCGGGGGTTGCCACAGGGGCCCCCAGCCCCAGGTGCCCCAAGCTTGTCGCTCCAGTGTGGAGCCCCTGACCCAAGGTGCCCCCAGCTTTCTGCTCCATCTTGGAGCCCCTGGGGCCCTCTGGGCCTCGTGAGGGGCGCTCTGGAGGCCGCGGGGGCGGCTGAAGGGAGGCGGCTAAAGTAGATTGGGTTCAGACCCTCCCCGATAATTACAAAACACAGCAAAGGCATATCGAAATTTGAAGTAGGAAGGCGCTTGAAGAGGACTGGGATCTGCGAATCCAAAAATGCCTACTTTCAACGACCAGCGTGTACGGGGTGCAAGGCAGGGCATGAGCGCACAAGTGTCGAGCGTTGCTGAAGGTGCCCCCGGCCCGAGGCGCCCCCAGCTTTTCGCTCCATCTTGGAACCCCTGGGGCCCTCTGGGCCTCGGGAGGGGCGCTCTGGAGGCCGTGGGGGCCTCCCTGGAAATCCTGAAACGCACCTTGGGCCAGGAGCACCTCGGACAGCACCCGAACAAGAACTTGCCGTCTCTCGGACGTCCACTCACTGTGCACTCTTCAGTTTTTCGTGCGTTTGTCGGCGGTGGACAAACCTCCCTTTAGTAAACCTCCCTTTAGTGAAAACGGCCCAGGACCGAAACCGACCGACCTGGACCCGCGAAAATGACGGCCGCGACGCCCTCTCGCGAGCCGAAAACGGCCAATTCCTTAATCGACGTGTCAAGGTAGGAGGTCTGTCCACCCCCGAGTTTTGAGGGGGCTCGCCAGAGGATCCGAGATGCTCCGCGATGGCTCAGACTTTCGGGCGCTAGCCTCGCCGAGGAGAAGGCGCCCCCGTCGAGCGGTGCCGGCAGGAAGCTCCGCCGCACGCACGGGCCGAGGACTCGCCAGAGAGACCACGGCTCGTACAGGGCAGTTTCTAATACATGGGATTTTTTAAAAATAGGATTTTAATACATGCTTAATCTATGAATACATTTACGCATGAACTCATTTCTGTTTTAATACTAAATCCCTGCATTTTTAATACATGATCCGCACGCGGAGCATGTATTAATAACGGCGCTGTATCTTCGGCCAGAGAAGACGCAAAGCAATGTGCCGGAGCAGCTGAAGGCAGAGTGCGGAGCGGGGGTCGCGTGTGTGCTACGATGCCCCCTTGGTCAGGGGGCGCGAACGTCACAAGTCGCACCCCTCTTGCCATGAAGGTTTCTACAAGAGAGATGGCAACGCCTGAACGCATGCCAGAGAAGCCGTGCACCTCCAAGGAACCATGCTTGAGGAGACTGCATCACGAGAGCCCCATACTGCAATCAGCAAATGCATATGTGAACGGTGCACGAGCAGAGAACGCAGCAAATAGCGTCAGATACTGCTATGAGCCTGCGTGATTTGCAAGCGCACAAGATCCACTGGCATTCGGAATGACTACCCTCAACATAGCATGTTTGAAAGATGGATGACAGGGTCGTAGGTCAGGGTGAGATGGAGGCACATAACACGCTTCTTTGTTTGAAACAGGGATTTCGGCAATCAGCCTTGCGAAGACCAACCACAGCGTAGGAAGAGCCTGTCTACGGCGTTGCCACGGAGGTCATGCTCGGCCTGGGCGACGACGATACGGTAGATGGCGGCAATGGTGACGGTGACCGTGGCCATAACGACGACGATGACGAGGGCACAATAGCTGCACGGGCGCGGGCGTGTTGGCAGTCGTTCTAGCGATCCAGCATCATCACGACCACACTGTTGGCACAACTTCCCGAGGCCGACAAGACGACGACGCACCAATTCGACGGTTAGCATGAAAGGGAGAGAAGGACGAGAGGGCCTGGCGCACGGCGCAAGAGAATCGGTATATTCTTCCTTCCAGCTCCTGGGCCCTTCCTGCGCGCCTGCCCAGTCCTCAAGCCGCGCGCAGCCAGGACGGCGAGGGAGTCACCGGGAGCCCAGAGCAGGAAAAGCAAGACATCCTGGGTCCCCTCTGGCGCAAGCAACCGCAAGGACAGCAGGGCTCCCTGGCCCAGCGACCTGCGGCCCGCAACTCAGACCAGATACGACCGCCCGGCCCAGGGAGACTCCAGCGCCCTGGAGAAAGGAGGGGAGGAGGGGAGAGGTGGAGGTAGGGGGAGGGAGCGGAGAGGAGTGGAGAGGAGGGGAGATGGGGAGGGAGGGAGGGAGGGGGGAGGGAGGGAGAGAGAGGGGGAGAGGAGGAGAGAGGTGGAGGGAGGGGGAGGGAGGGGTGGGAAGAGGCCAGGAGAACCGCTGCTCCTTTGGCTCAATTGGGACCGTCGGCTCGGACCTCAGGGTGAGCTCGCTTTCGGAGCGTGCCCAATACGGGCGAATCAATGTGGAGCCGGCGCTGGCGCGGTTGTACATGATTTCATGCCCCGCCGATTGGACCTTGAGCCTGTCGTCGTGCGTGGCGTGGCGGGCGTCCCATGGTCCAAGCGGTGCGCATCAATCTCAGAGGAGCACTGGCTCGCCTGAGGCCGCTCCCGCCGCATTTTCTGGGCTACGGCGTCCTGGAGGCGCCCTTCTGAGGTCCCTTTTTGGTCTCGTCAGTGCAAGCTGCGGAGAGGAGCCTCCCTCGCGGCTCTCTCTCTCTTTTTCTCTCTCTTCCTTCTCTTCTCACCTGCGTGGGCCCGATTCGACCTCTGCGCCACAGCACGTCATGGCCTCTCAGCCTTCATGGAGGCCAGGCCGATAGTGCTTCGAGATCGTTCCAAAATACAAATCCAGGCCCATTATCCTCCCCCCGTCCACGCTCCTCCTCCGCCGTATAGATGCAGGACTCCCAGATCTGCGCTGCCTCCGGCTCGTTCTGCACCGTGACGCCCCAGACGTTAATCCCCTGTGGTCGGCCATCAGCATCGCCCAGGGGCACCAGCTCCTCCTCCTCCTCCTCCTCCACCTCCTCCTCCTCCTCCTCCTCCTCATCATCATCATCATCATCATCATCAGCATCATCATCATCATCATCATCATCATCCTCCTCCTCCTCCTCCTCCTCCTCCTCCTCCTCCTCCTGCTCCTCCTCCTCCTCCATCTCCTCCTCCTCCTCCTGCTCCTGCATATCCTCCTCCCCCTCCTCCTTCTCCTCCTCCTCCTCCTCCTCTTCCTCCTCCTCCTGCTCCTGTTCCTGCTCCTCCTCCTCCTTCTCCTCCTCATCATCATCATCAGCATCATCATCATCCTCATCATCATCATCATCCCCCCCCTCCTCCTCCTCCTCCTCCTCCTCCTCCTCCTCCTCCTCCTCCTCCTCAGCAGCAGCAGCATCAGCATCAGCATCAGCATCAGCATCAGCATCATCCATCATCATCATTATCATCATCATCATCATCGTCGTCGTCGTCGTCATCATCATCATCATCAGCATCAGCGTCATCATCATCAGCATCATCATCATCAGCATCATCATCATCAGCAGCAGCATCATCCTCAGCATCACCATCCTCAGCATCATCATCTGCAGCAGCAGCATCGTCATCAGCATCATCATCATCGACACCACCATCATCAGCAGCAGCATCATCATCATCATCATCCTCAGCATCATCATCTGCGGCAGCAGCAGCAGCATCAACAGCATCAGCATCAGCATCATTGTCCTCAGCACCATCATCATCAGCATCAGCATCAGCATCAGCATCATCATCATCATCATCATCATCATCATCAGCACCATCATCATCATCATCATCATCATCATCATCATCATCATCATAATCAGCATCATCACCATTACCAGCATCATAAACAGCAGCATCAGCAGCATCATCATCATCAGCATCAGCAGCAGCATCAGCAGCATCATCATCATGATCATCATCAGCATCATCATCATCAGCAGCAGCATCTTCTGGATCATCATCGTCATCAGCATCAGCATGATTAGCAGGTTCATCATCATCAGCAGCAGCATCATCATCAGCATCATGATAGACATCATCGTCATCATAATCAGCATCAGCAGCATCATCATCAGCAGCAGCCGCAGCATCAGCATCAGCATCAGCATCAGCAACATCGTCACCATCACCATCATCATCACCACCACCATCATCATCAGCGTCATCATCATCATCATCATCATCATCCTCAGCATCATCCTCAGCATCATCCTCAGCATCATTATCATCATCATCATCATCATCCTCATCATCATCATCATCATCATCATCATCATCATCATCATCATCGTCATCATCATCATCATCATCATTCGCCGCCGCCGCGTGGGTCGAGCTCGTGCCAGGCGGTGAAGGTTTAGACCATGGCGGTCAAACGCTAGGGCGTGCAGAAGCTTCGGTCTTTCCCGCTGGTGGCATGCAGTGGAGTGCGCCGTGCAGCGCTCCAGGAGAAGTGCAATAAACCAATCATCATCATCATCATCATCATCATCATCATCATCATCATCATCATCATCATCATCATCAGCATCAGCATCAGCATCAGCATCAGCATCAGCATGAGCAGCATCATCATCATCATCAGCATCATCATCATCATCACCATCATCATCGCTGTCGTAACCATCATCAGCAGCATCTTCAGCATCAGCAGCAGCATCAGCATCGTCGTCATCATCATCATCGACACCACCATCATCATCACCACCACCATCATCATCAGCCTCATCATCAGCATCATCGTCATCATAAGCAGCAGCGGTGTCATCATCATCAGCGTCATCCTCATCAGCATCATCATCAGCATCAGCATCAGCATCATCAGCATCATCAGCATCATCAGCATCATCAGCATCATCATCATCAGCATCATCATCATCATCATCATGATCAGCATCATCATCATCATCATCATCAATAAACCATATTTCCCTCCTGCACCTCCCTCCCTGCCTCCTTCCACGAGAAGGGGAGGCGGGAGGGTAGAGCACATGGGAGGGAAGACAGAAATCATGGCAGGGCGCAGAGGGGGGGGGAGAGGGCAGGGGAAGGGATAGGAGAAAGCGAGGCGGAGGGGTTCGGCGAGGGCGGAGGGAGGAGGGGAAGCTGGCAGCAGGCAGGAGGGATCGCAGCCGGCGGGGGAGGGGAAGGCCGTGAGCAGGGGAAGGGAGGACAGAGGAGCGCCCCCGCGTCTGGCGCCGTGCCGCCTGGCCCAGCCAATGCCCTCCCTGTCCCCATGTCTGAAGGGGCCCTGGGACACGCAAATAAATACACACATACAAAGATTCCCCATGTATTCCCATATGTTCTGGGTTTTTGTCTTCCCCCCAGCTTCCCATATTTTCCCATATTTTCTGGGGAATCGAAGATGAATTGTGTCTGTGTGTTTTTTCCCCTCCTGAATGTCGCCTGCCCCCTGCCCAGAAGGGCGCGGGGAGGTAGGTGGAAAGGGAGGAGGCAGGTGGCGAGGGAACGCGGGGGAGCAAAGCGAGCCTGGGAAAGGGGAGTGAAGAGGAAGAGGGGTCCCCCTCCTTCTCCAGGAGGGGAAGGAGAGGATGGAAAAAGGAGCAGGCGAATTGGAGAGGGGGAGACATGAGAGGGAAGAGAAGCGAAAAGAGAAAGGATTATGGAAAGGGGGGGAGACGGAGAGGAACAGTGGGACGGTGGCATAGGGACAGGAGCCGCCAAACGGGGCCTGGCCTGGACTGTAAAAGGAAATAGAGCGGCTCGGAGCGAGAAGCCATCACCTCCAGTGCCTGGAAAAACCTGGCGAGGTCGGCAGCAAACTTGGACCCAGCGGCTGGGTGTTGATCCTCCGCGAGCCTGACACGGGCACGCCGAGGGGCTGGGCTCGGGGGCGCCTCTGGGCAGGCGGGCCCAAGGGCCTCGAGCACAGCATCCAACATTCGACGTCGTTGTTCGTTTTGTGTTCGTTTTGTTTTTCGTTTTGTTCTACCTGTTTTCATGTACCTCCCTGCCAATACGAAAAACAAAACACAGCCGAAGTCCAGCAAAGAAGCGTCTAGGTCGAGCCCTGCAACATACTCCCAGGAGGCCCCAAGACCGCCCCGAGGCGGCTCGCGATTTCCCCCGAGCCTCCCACGGACGCTTCCAAGAAGCCAGAATATGTCCAAAACCTGGCAAACCAGGAGAGAGGCAACGATGTCGGCCTTCTCGCCTTTTCACTTTCGATTGGCTCTTGAGGCTTCAAGATGGCTCCAATGTTTCCAAAGAGAGCCCCAAGAGGGATCCAACAGGGCCACAAGACGACCCCAGAAGCGCCCAAAGGCGCCCCAAAAGCGCCCAAAAATGGCACAAGAGGATTCGTTTCGGATTGCGACGGGGGGAACGTAATGGATGATCTCCCGTCTTTGATCGATGGCCTTCAAGATGGCCCCAAAAGGGCGCTGCCAACAGGCGCCCAGATCGAAACATCTGCGAAAACATGGACGTTTGACTCCTGGGCCCGCAGAGGCTGATCTCGATACTCGGTTTGACGGCTGCACCCCCTCTTGTTGTTCCACCGCGCGCTCCAGCACTTCCCTGATCAAGGCAACTCGCCTGAGAACTGCCGCTGGCTGCGCTGGTGGGGGTATCTGCGCGACGCGTCGAGAACAGCGAGGTGGGCCATCCTGACCTTTAAGGGCCTCCCGCCGAGCCCAACGCTCTCCTCTGAAGATTTGTTTTTTGGCTCCACGCCGCCACCTTCAGATCCCAGCCGAGGCTGGGAAAAACTCGAATGCTACGGAGGGAGGAGCATCCGAGTGCAAAAGGCTCAAGCTACTACCTGCACGAGACTGCACAACGCGAAGCTAGCAGCGAGCGCGCTCCTTTGAAGATCGGTCGAAGCCTCCCCGGAAAGTCCGCCAGGCTCGGCGCTGAAGCGCCGCCCGCCCAGAGTGTCCAAAGACTGCTCCGAGTCCGCGGCCGAAAGGGGGTCAGACGGCGGTCGAGCGGCGGCGGGGCGCGCGGAGAAGGAGGAGGAGGAGGAGGAAAAGGAGGAGGAGGAAAAGCAGGAGGAGGAGGAGCTGGAGCACAGCGAAGCACGGGGACCAGGGAGCGCGCCGAGGTGCGAGGCGGCCGGAGAGGCCCGGGGGCCGGAGAGGCCCGGGGGGGCGAGGCGGCCGGAGAGGCCACGAGAGTCTGCGCGTGCGCGCCGAGGGGCGACTGTCTGCAAGAGCACGCTGGCCGCACCCCGTGGCCCCGGGGCCTCCGCCCGCGAGCCCCGAGAGGCAGCGGCAAGTGACGGCCCCGGAGCTCCAGGGCAGATATCCGGGAGGCCGCGCCCTCTGGACCGCCTGCAGGCCCCCAACCAAGAGGCCCCCCCCCCCTGGAGAGGCAAGAGGCCCCCAAGAGGCCCCAAGACCGCCGCCAAGAGGCTGCCGAGAGGCCCCCCGCGAGATCCCCACAGGCGTCCAAGAGGCGCCTGACCTACAGCCGAGGCGCGGCGGCGGGATGGGCCGAAGGCAGGATCCACCGCCCTCTGTGGATTTATCACAGGGGTGCCTGGCGTGCTGAACTTCTTACGGTTTGGCGTTGGTTCTTTTTCCAAAGATGGCTCCAAGATGGCCCAAGACGGCCCACATGGCCTCCAAGTTCGCCCAAGATGGTCCAAGATGGCCTCCAAGACGGTCCAAGCGAGTCCAAGATGCCTCCAATTTCGCCCTAGAAGCCTCCAAGACAGCCCAAGATGGCCCCAAAGTCCTCCGAGAGGCCTCCACGACGGCCCAAGAGGCCTCCAAGATGGCCCACGAGACCTCCCAGAGGTCTTCCAGGAAGACCCGAAGAGGTCATTGATTTTCATTCGGAGTTTGAAGGATTGTGACACTTGCTTCTTGTCCGCCTCCGGACGGCCCGAGACGGCCCAAGAGCCCCCAAAGATCGCCCGAGGAGCCTCCAAGATGGCCGCAGAACGGCCCAAGAGGCCCCCAAGACGGCC